CTATAGACGCTTCAAATTCCATAGTAGCTGAGTGCATAAAATGTACAAAATTCTGAACAAATTTAGAAACGTTTAATGTAATTTAATGTAATTTTGAAACAATATTTATACTTATTTTTATAACAGTAATTAACGGTGATTAACAGTAAGTCGAAAAAATGTATAGGTTAGGTAGCACGTGCACCGATCACCAGAAATGTCTTGAAAATGCTTATTTTACTTTTTGCAAATTGCTTATATAACACATTCGAATACACAATATTAAACGAAAATGACATTCAAGTCCAAGACACAATGCCAGAGAATAGTATGCACGTGCTACCTAACCTATACATTTTTTCGATTTACTGTTAATCACCGTTAATTACTGTTATAAAAATATGTATAAATAATTGTGTAATACAATAAAACACACTTGACATACCTTTTTAAAATGATGAATTTGCAACAGGAGTATCACTTTTTCTTTTTCCGTAGAAGTACTGCCTTACACAAAACAATGCCAACCGATGACGATGACCGTTGTTCTTAAGCAAACCTGCGTGCATCGCCTTGCGCATTGCCTTGCGCATCGCGTTGCGCAGCGTCATATGCCCGTGTCACACTACGCATTGGAGACTGAGGATTGCGAGAATTAAGGATTAGAATTCGACCAATCAGGTAATTTTAAGTTTAATCCGTTTCGTTCTAATTGGCTGAATTCTAATCCTCAATTCGCATTCCTCAGTCTCCAATGCGTAGTGACACGGGCATTAGGTCGGAATTAGACTAGGCATTAAAGATTGAGATTAAAGATTGAAAGATTAAAATTTGATCAATCAAAACAATAGGAGCTAAAATTCCTTTGCCCTCATTAGTCAAATTTCAATCTTCAATCTTTGATCTCAATCTTCAATGCGTAGTCTGATTTCGGCCTTATGCGCGTTATCTCATTTGATTTATCGTATGACAAATGTATGCAGGACAGAGAGGTCCTCGGATCTCTCTATCCTATAAAGAGCTAAAAAGATTGAAAAATTTGTCGTACAACAAAAACACACAAATGAAATCCCATACGCATCAAATGTGAAATCACGAAACATTTCGTGTTTTTACAACATAAATATTTTGATTTGGATAAATTAAAAGTACAACATTTTATTATGAAATCATAAATATTATTGTAAAGTCACATTTCTTTAGCAAAACCACTACAAGTATCGAAAATTTACTGAATTCATGTGTAGTAAAAGTGTTGTGAAATCACAAACATTTCTAACAGTGTAATAAAGTGGCTAACCTGTAAGTTATTCGTCTTCGACTTCTCAGTCGTTCAGTTATCTTAAACACTTGTTTCACTGTATCGTTTTATAAAGCCAGCATCAAAATGATACAGAGGTGACAGGCTTTATATATGCCTCAGTACATTCATTTATTCATTTATCACAGGCTTTGTACCTACATTAAGATCTTAGATAACTGTAATTTGGTCAATATGAAACTCATGCAGATTCAATCAAGCAATAAACATTAATGGAAATAAAGGAGCGATGATAAGACAAGCACCTGTGTGATATTTTCTTGTTGAACAAATAATTAGCATCATCAAAAGAATCACAGTAAACGTTACGATATTTGTACAAATCATCGTTATTTTTGTGAAGTTTTTATCTTCATCGATAGACAAATTATGAAAAAATTTCACAATAATGACAACATGAACTGATGAAAAATTTCACAATTGCGCTAAGATAATTCACTAAAATGCAACAGTTTTGTCAGAATAAAAATTTTAATGATATTTGTAAAAATGAAACAATATCAATTTTAAATGATATTTGTAAAAAATTAAATAAATCCAATTTGAGGTGTAAATATTTTAATATTTTATATTTACTATCATTCCGATGTGCAACAAACGAAGTTTTTCAGTCGTAATTAAGATGATCGATATTGTAGTACAAAACTATAAGATTCTAATTAAATATATCTTCGAAAGAGTCAATGTTTCATATTTCTTAGGCGCATCGAGTATTTATTTTACAATTTAATATTTACTAGAGGCACTTGTTTTTCCATTTATCGTGGAATATATAATATATTCTATGTGATATTTTTACAGGATTGAGAACATAGAGTTTGCCAGTTAAAAAAATACGGAAGAGAAAAGCCGTGTACGTTGTAAAAATATTTATTTCACGTATTTGCATAAAAAATAAAAATAATGAAAATTTACGAAAAAATATCACGTAAAAAGAGAATTATCTATCGCGTATAAAAAATACACGGAAAGAATTTTCTCTCCAAATTTACCCTTAAAATATGGTAGTTGTAGTACAATATAATACTTTAAAGATTTTTACTATGCACTTCAATAAAATTAATCAAATTTATTTTATATTTTATCGTAGTTTTATAAATGAATGAGATAGATTTATATAAAATTCTTCGAAATACAATTTTATCCCACGACTATCATATTTACAGAGTAAATTCTAAGAAAAAAATTCTCTCCGTGTAGTATCACATAAAAAATGGAGAAATGAACGTAGAATATAATTATTTATATTTTCCGAAAAAATCTCAGAAACAAGAATAAACTTTTATAAAATTTAGATGAGTTTTCTTTTTCTAAATATTAATTTATCGAGATAAAAACAGTTTGAATAAGTGAAGGAATGAGCTATTATTTACATATAATAAAATACTCACCTATAGGTTGTTCTGTCAGTGCCTGATGCTTCTTCATCTCCTCTCAGGATCGTTATCCTCTTGCAAAGAACATTCGCGGAAAACACTCGCGGATAATATATATACTATAGCGCGCGCATTTATTATTAATAAGAGTCTTTCTTGCAATACTGTAGTATTCCACGTTTATAAAACCCAAAAATGATAGGATTTCCAAGTCGGTGGAATCAACATTTCGGTCAGCATTTAAGTCAATTCTTGTATTTAAGATCATCTAAAATACAATTTTAAAATGTCATAAGTCAATCACAGAACTTAACTTTTTGAAACATTTCTTAAGATAATTTTTTTAGAGTGAGAACTATGAATATCTTAGAGTTGACGAGTATAGTCGAATATATACAAGACACAGATAAATGCCGACGTTGTAATGGCACTAGCCATTCAACAATGCCTCATTGTGAGTCTTACTTACCGTCAAAACATCGGAGATATGATCCCACCACCTTTTCCAATTAGTTTTCCATCAACTGTCATGTCGTGAAAAGTTCATTAATCTGATAATTTCAACGGCAATTGACTCGAGGCAGACTCAAAGAACTGATTATGATTCGTTTATTTAAACGTTAGATTTTTACATGAGAGAGGATTATGATTTTCCTCAAGTATCTAAAAATTTAGCTATATAATAATTTAGATATATAGTATGTGAAAATTTTTATGCAATAAGAAAAGTCATTCTTTTCATACATTGTATACCCAGTATATTCTTTTGAAGTACTAAGCTCTCTCAAGATCGTACCCACAGGAGCGAAGATATCGTCTGAGATACAATATACAATTGTTCATGGTTAAATTGTAAAAATAATCGAATATCAAGCAAGCGTTGATTCCCCACTGCAGCTAAACAAATTCAGGACAGATAGAAAAGATAAACCTATCATTATAATTCTTGTAAGATACAATTACGACATCAATCGAGTAGGCCAGATATTAATAAGAAGGAAAAATAATTCCTTGATCTATATTCTATATTACACGGAGAGAATTTTTTTTTAGAGTTTACCCTGAAAATATGATAGTCGTGAGACAACATTGTATTTCGCAAAGAATTTTATATAAATCTCTCTCATTCATTAACAAAACTATAATAAAATATAAAATAAATTTGATTAATTTTACTGAAGTGCATGGTAAAAATCTTTAAAATACTATATTGTACCTCAATTACCATATTTTCAGGGTAAATTTTAAAAGAAAATTCTCTCCGTGTACCAGCTTATTGTCATTGCCGGCAAATAATCACAAAGTTACGCTCAATTTTTATGCGTTCTCGTCGATATCGCGAAAGACTCACGAAAACGAGAAATTAATTTAATTATTATTAATTACGCAAACTGCATTAACTGGAATCGCGTGAATTGCGTTATTTGCATAAGGAGATATTTATTAATGTTACTTTATTTCTAATTTATATGATACAGTTCAAAGTACTATATATAGCGAGAGATACCATATATTCAAACGGAAGAAAATTTTTGTATTAACCAAAAATAACTATCGCGAAACAATTATCCTATTCTCTGTCGTGTTTCGATTCTGAATGATTGAACAATATAAAACATCTGTGATATATGATTGTTATCTCGATCTATTTAGGAAATCGGCTAACCGTACGAACTAGTAATTGTGTATAGTGAACAATTGTGTAAATTGGTTTAAAAAATGACGTTTCGTATTATCTAGTACTATCGCAATTGCGTTCTCAAAAAAAAACCTCTTAAGAAAGGCGGAGTGGCACTGATCTGCCGGAACAAGAGTTCAAAGTTGAATGACAGCACATCGATAGTGCGTAAGCACAATGCACTGCACGGAAACAAACACCAAGGCTATATGTGCTAATTATTTTTATGCTTATTATTTCAAAAAAATTTATTGTTTTGTAAAATATCTATCAAATATTTTGTTCTAAATTTTGCTTAATTATTATTGTATATTTTCTGTTTCATTCTATGAATCGTTTGACATTACTTAAGATATACTTATTAAGAGTGTACGCACTGGTGGAGGAGAATTGTCGCGAGAAAAGTGTAACACTTGCGACAGTTCAAATCAAATTTAATATTAAAATAAATTTAATATTAAAAATTTGCTATTCGTAATCAACTTAATCAATAACAATCGATTACCATACTTGTACATAATGTAATATTTGCACATAAAAGATTAGAACGTGAATTTAATTGTTGACTCATGGTCAGAAAAATTAAATGTTTAGGAATATTTTCTTTTTTAACCCTTAAGTGCCACTGGGGGTCCAAAAGACCCCAAGGCTTTTTCAATTGCATATATATTTTATGATTCCACTGGAAATCGAATTTCTGGCTCCATTTACCGTTAGTTTAGATCCCCAACTACTTGTTGAAAAGTTCGCGACAATAGTATCTTTGTATAGCAGCCGAGCAGGAACGATGCATTTCGAGGCGGGATACAAAATATTCCAGTGTGTCATTTACATTGTGCAAAGTGAAAATCGGAGCGACTTTTTTATTCACGTTTTTGTGTAAATTTCATCATTTTGAATTGTAAGTATTACTGTGCGCGCTCTAAAATTTTCTTAGTCTTGTAAATATAACTTTTTCACGATTAATTAGATGGAATATAATTTGCGGAGTCGGACTATCCGAGAGGAGCTGAAGCATGATGATGAGGATGGTGAAGTTATGGATACGCATATTTTTGTACTTTTTGTAATATTTTTACATATTTTTGTAATTATGTGCCCAAAAATACTTTTTTCATAACTTTTTTATCAAATTTATTAGGTCAAATAAATCGTTAATTGTGTTTTTTCTTTGTCTAAAATTTTCCCATTCATTTCGCAAAATCAATACCTTTTTTAGAATATTCAGTATCGGACTTAGTTTTATCTAAAAAAAAATACTATCTCGGGAGTACAATCCTAAATTTTTTGCGAAAAATATTAAAAATTAAAAAAAATACGGTTATTTGTTTAAAAAGTATTACGTTCTTTAAATTTTAATTAATTTTTTTTCTAGTATATTTAAAGTAAAATTTTATCATAACTGCAATTATATTTTTTTTTAAAAGCTTTGAGGAGTATCCAAACAAATTTTCAAAGCAAAATATTGAAAACTCTAAGAATAGTGTACACTTTTTCATGCTGGGGTTCAATTAACCCCGTGTGGTATCTGCGTGATTTTTTTGACATATGGCATTTAAGGGTTAAAATTAATCAATAGTTTGCAATTTTGGACTTGAAAAAAATTAGAAAAAATCACAATGCTTAGGTAGGATATATAGGTTATTTTATTACAATCATATCCAATTATATACAATATATACCATATTATTTACTATTTTGAATTTTCTTTCAATTTTTCTTATGTCTGTTTTATATGTTAATATAAATCAAAATACTTTTTTATTTTAATTAATTTCTATATCATTTTCGCAATGACATTATATAGAATAATATTATGTACATCTCTTTTAATAACATTAATTATTTTGTTAATATATGTTGAATTAGATACTATCTATTCCATATACATAACAAAATAAATACATTTATATGTATATCTATATATACCGTTGTCTCTGTGATACAATGATATAATACATAAAGATCATAATTTATTTAAAAATTTTAATAAATAAGAAACGCCATTATGAAAATAATTTTTTATTTTTCGAATCAAAAGAATTGTCACTATAAAGTAACAATTACACGGTAATCCCCTTTTTAAAAAAAAGTCACGTATCAACATTTTTTATCTACTACTATTAATTTTCTTTGTATATTTACCATAAATATTAATATCTAATATTTTTATTTATTATCTAGATTATTATTTCCTTTCCATTTTTACTTTTTATCACTAAAGATTAAGTATGTGTACATTAGAGATCCAATAAACCCCATTCATCATACAGTGGCAGTCTTTTTATCATTAACTTTCTATAAATCTCGCTTTTGAAACCTGGATTTATACCACTGCTCAATAATTCATCCAAATCTTTCGCCTCAGTCTTACAGCACAGCATAAACGGTAAAATGATGAAGAATATTATCATTCCATAGTTAGCTTTTCGTTTTATGGTAGCTTTCAGTTCCTCCATTGTAGGCGGGTGCGTCTTGCAATTCAATTGCTTCAAAGTCGCCGACAAGGTTCTAAGATATTCGTTCAATAGAATATTTTTCTTGTTTTCCATGACATCCAAGGAAGGACTTGTATTGAGAAAAAATAATAAATCGAGTACCGGCGTTGCGTAAACGCACACTTGGAAGTCTATCTGTAATTAAATGAATCTTTTCGATCGGTCCATTTTTTGAACTCTTGGATTAATAATAGATTAAAAATGAAATCTATTCATTCCGAAAGTCAGATGTTGTGTTTAGGAATGTCATATTTAGAAATTTCAGCAACAAGGTTGACAATATAGTTTGCGCGGACGACATGGTCAAAAAAGTAACGAGTATAGCAATTAAATCTTATTGCATTATTTATACATATTGCATTTCCAAGTATCTCCTATTATCACATCGTTTATTTGTCTTGATCGCTAAAGACGACATTGCGGACAATTCAAAAATGCGTTAGTACTAGTGTTCCTATTTTGAAATCTGTTTATTTTGTTTATTTGGTTTATATTTACTTAAATTTGTTATTATTGCACACAACTATAAAAATTGTCATAAAAATTCAGAAATGATTCATGAAATAAAGTAACCGAGCTTTGTTACATATAAATGTATTCGTGATAAAATTTTCATTCTTCTATTATAAATTAAAAAAATATATTTTTAACGTAAATATAATGATGTACTTACAAAAATATGATCAATAGGTTTGGCATCATTGTTATATCTGAACAACATATTGTTCACGTGAAAATCACCATGAGTAATAACATTAAATTCCTCCTTACAAAGCTTAGTTGCATTTATTCCTATTTGATATATGTGATCGGAGAGTTTGGCAATTTTTTCCGAGTATCTAGCAATACAAATAAAATAAATGTAAAATTGTATGAAATCATGTAAAACGTATTCACTATAAGCAGCATAATGTGTACCTGCCATTTTCTGTTTAAAGTTTAGTTTATTCTTATTATACATTTATCTTGTGTCATATAACATATTATCATGAACATTAAACAATAGAAGAATGAATACTGTCGTTTAAACAAATCTTACTTTTTTACTTCAGGCCAGTGTGCAATCTCGTCTGCTAAACCTTTAGTACTCTTAATGAAAATATCCTTCATTTCTAATGATTGTTGCTTGTTAAATGTTCCTTTCAAATACATTTCCTTTTGCTTTGGTTCCTAAATATTAAAATATTGTTATTAAAGAATATTTTAATGTATTTATATATTTGATTCTAAAGTGTTAAATAGTGCGGACTAAAAATTTGGAATGTGATAACACAATAATTTTATTATCATGCAATTTTCCGACGAATTTAAAACAAATTTTTTTAAAGAAAATTATGAGAGAAAAATGATAGCCCAGACAACACATATATCGAAAAGACGTTTTAAAAGAGAATAGTCCTTGTATCTGTGCCATGATCTGAATATTCTGAATTATTGTTAATGTAACGAGATGTTACGACTGATTGTGAGTATCACGTGGTGATTTACTTTCTCGCATAGAGCTATGGAGGCTGCATGAAATCTGGCAAGTCCGTAAAGCGCCAATATGGAATGATGTAGGTCAAAACCAGACAAACGATCGGCCATTCGAAAGCCGAGGGACGCGAGATCTTCGATCGCCAGAAGCATTGGATCTTTTGCATGTAGAAAGTCTTCCCGCTCAAGCGATACTTTGGCTCTAACAATTTATTCATTTTATTCAAAGTATTTGACAGCATCGACATTTCGGTGTGAAAGAGACCTGATTTTATAACCTATAACAAGTTTATTCAAGATTAATAAATGGAATCTTTTAATCTAACATAAAATTATTTTTTATATAAAAGCCTGTATAAAATTTATATACTAGAAAGTTTCAAATTAAAAATTTGTTTTTAAACAAATAAAAAATGTTTTCCTTAAATACATGTTTATGTATTCGCTCCCTTAAAAATGATTTATAAAAATAATTTAATTTTAATTACTGATCACCCTAGAATTATTGTCTTAATCTTTCTGTTGAATAGAAATATACTTCAAAACAATAAAACTTGCCACATATTTCTCTCTCTCTCTCTCTCTCTCTCTCTCTCTCTCTCTCTCTCTCTCTGTTTCTCTGTTTATTTCGTTTTCTTTCATTATAATTATTGTACACATTAATGCAACTTACAAATGTTTGTTTGACACTACCGAGTTCAGACAAGGTTTTAAGGATAATTGACTTTTTCTCTTTAATCCTACAACTGCCTTGGTCGCGCGAATATTCGACAGTAATCCTGATCATGTCGCTAGTGTAGTTGTCACCCTTGTTCGTGGCTGGTTTCGAAAATATATCGGTCACCTTAATCGAATTATCATTTTCCGATTTATAATTATCAATATATTATATTGATCATCTGAATCGAGTTATCATCTTCCGATTTTTGCAAAATCTTCTCCACGAAGCTTAGATTCAGCCACATCGATGTCTTTAGGGCCATTTCTGAAAGTGGAGTTGGAATTGGAGAATTTTATCGACAACAAATCCTTGTCATCGTACTAAAAGAATGATATTTATAATAATTTACTAGGGAAGAAATTTATTATGTTTTTTTTCTCTTTTATCACCCGGCTTTGTACACACACTTATTTCGGTCTTTCTATTCTTTCTTTTATCTTTCCTCGCTATTATTTCAGACCGTTTATTTTACTCGCTTTATCATCGTTTCTTTCTTTGTATCCGTCCATGTTTAAGACGGTGGCATTCTGTTACGTTTGAGATCAATGTTTCAATTAAGAATGTAAACCGATTTTTCTTTGCTTTATTTGGTTAACGTCATATGTATGTTTCACGTTGAGATTTGGTCGAATATGATATTTGTGATATATGCGAAAAAGTTTTGTCAAGCCTGGCGCGTTACAATCGTATAGGGTATTGCAATTAATTTTTTTTTTTTTAAATAAATCTTGATATCAATTAATATTCGATTCATTGTTTATTGATTTATTACTTGGACCTTTGTACATTGCTTTAATAACAAAATGTGATTGTGCACGTATTCGATATATAAACTTATACTATACTGGTAATATTTTATATTCATCTTCTAACTCCATAATCATAATCTTTCTTTCTTCTCTTCAATTTTTTATAAATAAGAATAAAAAAGATGAAATTAGGGCTTCTAGGATTTGGCGCTGTAATAAGTGCGCTAATTGTTCATTACAAAAACTTATATTTAACCAATGTCTGTCAATCAAAAACTGAATTTGACATTTAGTCATATAATAAAAAACGACTAAGTCATAAGATAAAACGCGTACATTTCGGTTACTTTTTAGCTTTCATGAGCGCAGTAAAAATGTCGATACAAATTGTTGCAGTCTTTATCCCATAACCAGTTAGATGGCTGGATGGTCAGTAAGTTGAGTTCTTGAAATTAATTCCGTCGTGTAAAAGATAATTGATCGGAATAAATTAAGGGTCATCAAGCATGACTTCAGAAACACAGATGGATCTACTCAACAAAAATATATCAAAAGAAATGCACGGTTCTCATTAAAAAGAAAGAGCGTAACACGATAAAGAACTGAATACAATACGCAACTGAAATTATGATATGACGATTTTATGTGATAGAGTAATCTGAATGCTAAAGTTACTATTCAGATCAGAAAGATCAAAGAAAAAAAATGTTATTAGAAAATATTAATAATTAGTGAACATGTAACAATAAGCGACAATGACACACTATTGATTATGCAATTCCATGTATGAATTCAAATTAATGAATTGCCCTTCTCTTATCGCTTATTATTATGCAGTTATTTCTGAAATCAGTCGTTTCTTGTAATTTCGTTCAACATCTAAAGTTTCAACATAATCCTTTTTAAAATCATGACCATGATACAATGTGTGATAATTCAGTAACGACTGAATGAGTACCTGTATTTCTCCTGATATAAATTCTTATGTGTGTCCAGAAATTCTGGTCTTCAACTGCGTCTACGAGTTTGTCCGACATACAATGGCTGCATTCGGGCTATTAGAGCTATTTGTATTCTTTATCTTCACCATGTGTTGGACACGTACGAGAATAATATGATACAAATAGCACAAATAGCGCGTTTCCCAAATGTACCCATTGCGTTGTTGCAGAATATTTTATAAACGATTTTTTTTTAAGGTAATGAGTCTTTTAATAGCGTATTCATAAGGCAAGGATCTGCATATCTCTTGAGATAACTGTTTTAAACTGAATATTTGTCTTCCACGAAGTTTATATTTAATGGCTACGTTTACACCGTGCATTTAGGCCGCGGCCTATACAATAGATGTCCTTGTTTATCTTGTAGGTTAAACAAAGACATCTATCGTATAGGTCGCGGACTAAACGCACGGTGTAAACGTAGCCAATATTTGCATTGAGTGGATAATGAAATTGATTAATGTCAAATTTAGGACTTTTATCGTGTAGTCAATCAATTATCGGCTGTGCTACTGGTATAAATGCATCAATAATATAATTGAGTTTTAGTTCTAATTAAATATAATGTATCTATGTATCTTAAGATTTTGTGTTAACTAAATTTTTTTATAAATTATGCCGATCACGCTCTTATTATAGTTTGTTTCATTGCATCATTATAGCAATGATCTTATATTTTTGAAGTGCAATATATATCAAAGGATTCACTATAATATATTTATAATGTTTAGATGACGTTATTTAAAATTTTCCTAAATAATTTCCGGCTGAATATCAGTGTCAAGAGAACAAAGGATTGATAATGATGAAGGATTGATCAACATAATAAAGTGGCTAACCTGTAATTTATTGATCTTCGACTTCAGTCGTTTATTTTTCTTAAACCATTATTTCACTGTCCTGTTTTGTAAAGCCAGTCTGAAAATAATACTTACAGAACAGAAGTGATAAGTTTTATATATAACATCGGTACATCCATTTATTCATTCATCACAGGCTTTGTACCTACCATAAAGTCTTAGGTAACTGCAAGAGCTTGCAGTTACCTCAATATTAAACTCATGCAGATTTATCATTCAATCAAGCAATAAACTAATACAAATATAGGAGTGATGATAAGACAAGCACCCGTGTGATATTTTCCAGTTCTACAAATAGTTAGCGTCATCAAAGTATCGCTCAGTAAACGTCACGATATTTGTGCAAGTTATCGTTGTTTTTGTAAAATCTTTACCTTCACCACAATGGACAAATTATAAAAAAATTCTACAATAATAGCAGCATGATCTGACGAAAAGTTTTGCAATTGCGCTAAGATGATTCGCTATAATGCAACAGTTTTGTCAGAATAAAATTTTTAATGATATTTGTATAAATTTAAACAATATAAATTTTAAATGATATTTGTAAAAAATTAAACAAATCTAGTTTGAGGTAAAAATATTTTAATAATTTATATTCGTCATCGTTCTGATGTACAACAAACGAAGTTTTTCAGCCGTAATTACAATGATCGATATCGTAGCACAAAATCGTAAAATTTTAATTAAATATACCTTCGAAGGGATCAATATTTCGAAAGATAGTTCTTACTCACGTTGAATTTAATTTATATTCGTTTTACAATTATTAGATATTTACTAGAGGCACTTGTCTTTTGATTTGTTGTAGAATATATATTCTACGTGATATTTTTACAGGATTTAGAACATAAAGTTTGCTAGTACAAAAAAAATATATAAGAGAAATAAATATAAGAGAAAAGACGTATGTTTTAAAAATATTCATTTCACGCATTTGCATAAAAAATAAGAATAATGAAAATTTACGAAAAAATACCGCGTAAAAAGAGAGTTATTTACCGCGTATAAAAATAGTATCATGTAAAAAAATTAAGGAATGAACATAGAATGTATATATAATAATTATCTATTTTCCGAAAAATCTCAGAAACAAGAATAAACTTTTATAAAAAATTTAGATAAGTTTTCTTTTTCTAAATATTAATTTATCAATATGAAAATAGTTTCAATAAAAGAGGGAGTGAGATATTATTTATATAGGGTAACTCCGGTATATACGCCGCACCTATCAAAAACTTAATTTATTAAGTATTGTTTGCTATGTTTATAGTAAACGAACTATATCAATAAAAACTTTGTACTGTCTACTACTATGAAAAAAATATTAGGAATCCGAAATATTTATTTTTCATATTAAAAAATAAACTTTTTGAAACCTTGTATTTTTGCCGCATATCTCATAGGGGTGGAATATATGGCTACTCATAGGGGGAAAGGGGGTATGTACGGCTCATGAAAAATTTACAAATAATGCAAACATGCTTAATAATACAAACATGCTTTACTATTCCACTACACGTATGTATCACGAAATAATCACTAAGTCTTTTACACGTCCTACATTGATCATTTTATGTAGATTATAACTTATGATGGCGTTACTTATTACAGTGACAAATCGATTCAACTCACAATAAATTCATTAATATTAACAGTAAGAAGCTGAAATCATAACACAATACTAATATAACATAAAGGCATGTAACAGAGTAGTTACGGGAAAATTACTCCCACTCCTTCTATTTTTTCTGACTTCTGTGGCGTAAATCCCAGTGCGGCGTATTTGTCGGAGTTACCCTATAGAAAATTATATATAAAAAATATACCTGTAGATTGTTCCGTCAGTGCCTGATGTTTCACTTTCCCCTCTGAAGGTTGGATTGTCATCCTCTTGCATAGAACACCCGCGAAAATCACTCACGGATAATATGTACTACAATCGCACGCGGATTAATTATTAATAAAAGTCTTTCTCGCAATATATGCAGTACTCCACAAATTATTTTACAAAGATAGAACTTCCAATTCGGTCGGTGGAATCAACACTTCGGGCAGCATTTAACGTCACTTCTTGTATTTAAGATCATTTTAAGTATTATCTTAAGATGTCATAAGTTAATCACAGAGCTATATTAGCTTTTTAAGACATTACTTAAAATGATTTTAAAATAAGGATTAAATAAGATTAGAATCAACGAGTATAATACAAGAGTATATACAAGACACACGATAAATGCCGACATTGCAATGACCGTGGTAATTCAACAATCCTCATTGTGAGTCCTACTTATCGTCAAAACATCGGAAATATGATCTAACTACTTTAAATTTTAGTTTTCCATCAAATGTCGAGTCTATAGTTTTAAAGGATCGAGAAAAACCGAATTTTTCCAATTTTTTTCCGTGGATTTTTTCACGTTCGTAAAACCTATTATATTAAGAACTCGTTTCTCGGTTTCTCGGTTCTCTTCGTAAAGAAAATAATCGTCTATAGAGTACAATCGATAGCGAGTTAATTTAACAGAAGGATAAATTAACAGAAATTTTGAAATTTAAGTATTAAGTATTATTTAAGTAAATTTGAATATTAAAGATTGAAGTGTTGCATAGTGTATTCTATCAAACATTTTTGTGAAACATACAAAACATATATGTAGTATTGTACATCGAGCAAATTAAAACGAATCACATAAACTTTCGAATAAAAAGAATTACAAAATTTTTTAAAAATTTATCCTTACTCGCAGTTTCAAGATTTAATGACTACATCTTTATAAATATATATTAACTTTTAATCGCTCAAATTACCTTTTCTCAGCATCTTCACTTTCTTTTCTTTTCAATGAATATCTGTTTATATACTGAATAACCTGTTTCGTTTTTGTAGAAAAATTTTGAGAGCAAATAAATATAAGATCTGCTTTTTATTTCTGCATTAAGACTGCGAGAGACACCATATTAACCGTACCATAATAACCACTTGCGCAGTATAATGAGTCGTCTACTTAAGCTTTGTTATGTACTAAAGGAAGGTTAGATTAGGTTTTATTATAAAAATAGAAGGATGACTAAAAAATTTTAATAAAAATAAGGTTACATAATTTCATGCATCGCATTAATTTTATGAAGGAATTTAAAAGTTACGTATTATGTTATTTACATAGCAAAAACAGCAATTTAAAAAAAAAACAATTTTTTGGAAAAACCGAAATTTCGGTTTTTTCCAGCAATTTGAAAAAAGCGGTTTTTTTTAAGTATAATCGAGTCGTGAAAAATTTATTAATCCAATAATTTTAACGACACTCTCGAGGCAGACACGCGACGCAAAGAATTGATTGTGATTCATTCATTTAAATCGCGGCGACTAGAGTACTTCAATTACTTCCCCGTCGTTTATAGATTTTTACATGAGGATTATGATTTTCCTCAAGTATCTAAAAATTCAGCTGTATAATAATTTAGATATATCTGAAAATTTTTAGGCATAAAGAAAAGTCATTCTTTTCATATATTGTATACCTAGTATATTCTTTTGAAGTACTGAGCTCATCCACGTCGTCAAGATAGTATCCATGGGAAGGAAGATATCATCTAAAATACAATATACAATTATTCGTGTTTCACTTGTAAAAATGATCAAGCAAGCGATAGATTGTTACCATTGCAGCGAAACAAATTCGGGATAGATAGAAAAGATAAACCTACACAGAGAGAATTTTCTTTTAAAATTTAATCTGAAAATATGGTAGTTATGGTACAATACAATATTTTAAAGATTTTTACCATGCACTTCAGTAAAATTAATCAAACTTATTTTATACTTTATTGTAGTTTTATTAATGAATGATAAAGATTTACATTAAAATTCTTCGAAATACAATGTCGTCCCACGACTGTCATATTTTCAAGATAAACTCTAACAAAAATTCTCTCTGTATTATTATAATTTCTGTAAGATACGATTATGACATCAACCGAGTGGGTCAGATATTAAAGGAAGGTCACCGATACTGACATACACTCCCCCGCAATCACTTTTGCCATACCTAAGCCGAAATTTATTAAACTTCAAAGTTTAATATCTTTGCGGAAAATTATCGTAGCTTAAAAAATCGAACGGCATTTCAAAGGTTATTGCAACAGCTTTCATTTAAGCAGAGGAAAAATTGAAAAGACGCATAATTCTATTTTTTATGGATAAAAAACGAACAAGAAAAAATACGATATTTTTTATCTTTAGTTAATTGCTTGCCAATTTGAAATGAATAATAGTAGGATAATGAAACTAACGGGGTTTGAAAGGTATGCCTTTTACCTTTAAAATGATCGCCCGCCCATTTTTGTGCGACGTTTCTTACCGGAGTTATGAGTATTTTTATAAAAAAACATGATTTTGTTTATTTTCTTATTATCTCGAAAACTAAGAGCGATAGAAAAAAATGTTAAATACAAAAAATACTCGTTTTTAGGTAGAAAATACAAAAATAAAGTCAAAATTAAAAAATCGAAAAAATTTTTTTCTTCATCTTTTTAGGTAGAAAAAATTTTTTTAATTTCTCATTTTATGTGATATAGTTGTTAATTATTCAAAGTGTAATTTAGAGTTAAAATTAATTGATGTTATTACATTGTGTCACTATTATAATTTTGAGTAATTTATTGTAACATGACATATTATGTACTGTGTACGTTATAAAATAAATGTTCTAGAATTAAGAAATAAAGATTTTTGTTGTTTATTAAAAGAATTTGTTATTTAATACATAAATCAAATATATAATAATTTTATAAAATAATTCGTAGTGCCTAATAATGGAGAAAAAAATTTTCATTATCATTAAAATATTAATGTGTATATTTTTAAAAGTAACGCTACACTTTGTTCGTATGTATAACTTTGAATAATTAACAACTATATCACATAAAATGAGAAATTAAAAAAATTTTTTCTACCTAAAAAGATGAAGAAAAAAATTTTTTCGATTTTTTAATTTTGACTTTATTTTTGTATTTTCTACCTAAAAACGAGTATTTTTTGTATTTAACATTTTTTTCTATCGCTCTTAGTTTTCGAGATAATAAGAAAATAAACAAAATCATGTTTTTTTATAAAAATACTCATAACTCCGGTAAGAAACGTCGCACAAAAATGGGCGGGCGATCATTTTAAAGGTAAAAGGCATACCTTTCAAACCCCGTTAGTTTCATTATCCTACTATTATTCATTTCAAATTGGCAAGCAATTAACTAAAGATAAAAAATATCGTATTTTTTCTTGTTCGTTTTTTATCCATAAAAAATAGAATTATGCGTCTTTTCAATTTTTCCTCTGCTTAAATGAAAGCTGTTGCAATAACCTTTGAAATGCCGTTCGATTTTTTAAGCTACGATAATTTTCCGCAAAGATATTAAACTTTGAAGTTTAATAAATTTCGGCTTAGGTATGGCAAAAGTGATTGCGGGGGAGTGTAGGTCTCCTACACGATATCCTCCTATTTCTTAGAAACTAACCTTTGCACCTTATTAATACTAATAAAAACGTGATTTGTTTAGTTAATTAAAGAAGTACAAACTCATAATTTTCATATATTTATGGTTTATTTCTATACCAAATCAGCTGAAAACAAATTCTATGAATCCGAGAAGAAAATTCTTACGGTGTTCTTTTGCAAATTGCGTAATTAAAATAATAGTGACTGTATTATTGATAATATTATGCCATTTTAAATGTTTATAGTTTCATAAATTAGTTTTCTTTACAGAATAGGATATATCTTTATTTATAGAATAGGAATGTTGGCATTTTTTATATATATATTGCCTACTATGTTAGTTTTGGAGCCCATTTTGTCAGACGCTCATTTTTATATAACTTACGAAAAACTTAATTATTGCAAAACAATATTATAAAAACTGCTTAGAATATCTGATAGAAAACACTTTTTAGTTTGTATTTATGTTTTTGAAGTTGTTTTTTTATCTTTTATTTAAGACATATTGTCTAAAAACCAAGTGGTATATCGGTATCGGTGACCTTCCCCTAATAAGAAAGAAAAATAATTTTTTGATCTATGTTACTGGCTATTTGTCATTACCGACAAGCAATCACAAAATTGCGCTCAATTTTTAAACGTTCTCGTCGATATCGTGAAAGATGCACGAAAACGAGAAATTAATTAAATTATTTTTAATTACGCAAACTGCATTAATTGTAAAATCGCGTAAATTGCGTTATTCGCATAAGGATATTTATTAACGTTATTTTATTTCTAATTTATATGATACGATTCAAAATATATAGCGAGAGTTATATTTAAACGAAAGAAAAATTTTGTATTAACCAAAAATAACTATGGCGAAACAATTATGAATCCTATTCTCTATCGTACTTCGATTCTAAATGGTTGAATCATATAAAATATCTGTGATATATGATTGTCGTCTTGATTCATTTAGGAAATGAGCTAACACGTGTGAACTAGTAATTGTGTACAATGAATGATTGTTTAAAATACGACGTTTCGTATTATCACTTACCGCTATTGCGTTCTGAAAAAAGCACTGAAGGTAGCCGGAGTGGAACTGATCTGCCAGAACAAGAGTTCAAAGTGACAGCAAATGACAGCACGCAGAAAATACGTAAACACAATGAGCCATACGGAAATAAACACCAAGGCTATGCGTTAATCGTGTTATTTAAAAAAAATTGTTATTTTGTAAAATAACTGTTAAATATTTTGTTCTAAATTAATTACACTTAACTATTATTGTATATTTTCTGTTTCATTCTATGAATCGTTTGATATTACTTAAGGGGTTATACTTAGTTGGGTTCGCGAAAATTACGTAATTTTTAAGAATTTTTTGCAGGTTTAATGAATATTTATTGAAATTAATAAAACGATATCTTAAAGTGCATGTTTTAATATACTTTCACAAATTTTTTTATTCAAAAATAATGAAAAATGACGGAGATATCGCCGATTTCTCAGAACGCCTTTTTTTCAACATCAGTTGCGGTGTACACAATACAAAGCAGTGAAATTTCACTGTATTGAATAGTCAGAATGCGACCACCCTCTTTACAGTGAGATTTCACTTTAGCTTAAAGTGAACTTGGGTCACTGCAGTTAACAGTGACCTTATAACTGCTAGTAAAGTGAAATTTTCACTGCTAGTAAAGTGAAAGTATCACTGCTAGTAAAGTGACTTTTTCGCTCTAATAATGTTACTGTTCACTGTTAATATAGTGAATTATTTTTT